CAAGATCTTGACAAAACGTGAATGTTGTTTGCAAAATTTATGCTTTCAAAATAATCATGACTGTTTACCTACATGAAGTCATTCTAATGTACAGATTTAAATAGAAGGAAGCTTGTAACTACTTCACAACATTAGAAGTATCCATAGAAAGGTGGCCATATTCTTTGACCTAGTGAATAGCTTCCGGAGGAAATTTCTGAAGTTCTAATGAGAAGATGTAATTCGTGTAACTGAACCGTGTCGATACCTACCGAAGATAATGGAAGATGGCTGTGCACTGTTAGGAATCTATTGAAGTTAGACAGTGACGCCGTTGGACTCCAAATCAGTGTTCTATAGGTTAAGTGTTCACAGAAAAAATGGCTATTCTTGGTCTTATTCTCACATGTGGTTTCGTGGATGCCCACTACTGACAAATCCCAAACTGGAATGAGACGCTCATTTAGTGATTCTTGGTTTTCAATAGTGGCTTAAAATTGATCGGTCCACGATTTCAATGCAACTCAATAATCACCACAACTTTATACTTACAGATTCAGGGATATTATCGCATGAATTTTTATCATGATTGAATTGAGTACAATAAAGTACTGATCTGCCTTCTATCTTCGTCTTCTGATCGCAAACTAAGTTACAAGGTGCTTAAAGACGAATATGATTTAAGGGTTCGGCTGTTGTTCGTTGGTTGATGTGTAAATAGATCATCGATCCTGTTAACAATATAGGTGAACTAGTGAACAGTTAGACGAAAGAAAAAGACATTATACAACTTCTTTTTTGCCATTACGATCTAATCACATTAGTCCCACAACAAACTATTCAAGCAATCTGAGTTTTCTTAGCAACATTATAGTGGTTTACTTCGTTTGCACATCTACTTAAGTTTACATGCTTAGGCCTGGTACTCCAAATGGAGAATAGGCCGCCGACCAGCATTCTCCAAACCACTCTGTCCTGCACCTTCCTTTCTAGTTCTATCCAATCATTGTACATTTTTCTCATGTCTGCCTCCACTTCTCGACGCAATGTGTTCTTTGGACTCCCTCTTCTCCTTTGACCTTGAGAGTTTCAAGTGATGAGAGTTTGCCTTGTGACGCAGTTGGATGCTTTCCTCAATCTGTGTCCTATCCACTTCCAGCGCTTCCTGATCCCAGCTGATGCGAACAATATTTCCCAGACATCTGTGATTAAATACCATTATTATAACAAAACGTTTACTAATCCGAGCTATGAATTATTTTTTATTAATGTAAAAATTTAGAACAGGTCGATAATAGGAAACTGTGTAATCAACCACACGCGCTTCGTCTTACTCGAAACTAATCAGCCGGATGTACCTGGATCTCATCGATGATGTCTTACGTCAAAACTAGAAGCTAGTACTTTTCACTTGAATTACCAATGCGTTGTTCACTGAGCTATGGAGTTCAGATAGCCATAATTCAGGATGTATAGAAACCCAAAAGCACACAATTTCAGTCCTGAATATCTCAAAGCAACAACTTACCATGTGTACATCAGTTGTTATTTGGATACTATTTATTAGTGACTAAAAGCATATTTCACATAATCTAAGTTTGAATTCACATGCCTAACATATCCTGGAATTTTTACTGAGAACAAAGTATACTGTTCAAGTTATTCAATAAAGTCACATCTTGTTCATTAGGGTTACCTTTGCCGTAAATCGATATGAGTAATGTGGTCAAACTTTGTGAAATAAAACCGGATGGTGACATTTCTCACATGGGAAAACGAATGTTCTACAGGTTTGCTTGTCTATAATGAAGGTCTTTTTAAGTAGGTCAGTATCAAGCACTAAATGATAAAGATCATCCTATTAGTTTTCTTTCTGAATTTCACTTGATTCTACGTAGGCGTCTGGATCAAATATTTATGTTATTTGCGTTTTAGATAGCCTTCTAGTTAGTTGACAATCTATTATGATACTGGATACTTTAAAACTCGGACGAAAACACAACCATTTTCAACAACAAGTAAGTACAACATGGGGATTCACGCATGGGCAAAAGAAAAACAGTTGCAACATCTGATTTGATTTAGAAACTTCTATCGGTAAACAGTGAATCAAAGATACTGGCTATTGAAAAGCGTCTGTGAAATATTATTTCTGAACAACCATGATCTTGAGTGTGTACGTAAGACAAACTTGTCATAATATATCCAGAACTTAGTGATCAGAATATCCTACTATAACAAAAGTTATGATTCAAAATGTAAAATACTGGATAGCGGTTAAATGGTCTAAAAGCTAAGCGCTGGCAATGTGTACTGATGAAGGGTTCTACACTGGGACGAAACATTTATTCAAAGCTTTCTGTTATTTAATAGTTTTCTAACTAATACATCATTTCATAATATACATTACATAATTCAACAATCTCAGCAAACCCTGCATTCTAATCATTCATTTGTATGGTTTATTATGGCTTTGAGCCAACATGTCATTCATTGTAATTATCTTTTAATCATGTGATGTAGTTTACAATTATAGATTTTAAGTATAACTAATTACATACAATCAAATCTAGCATCAAGTAATGTGTAGAGATTGACGTAATTGGTAAGTAGTTAGAATAGTAAAGATAAGTTCATTCAAGCTATTAATAAAGTCTCTCGCCAACTCCAGTACTCTGAATGGATACATAAATGGCGTTCGCTACATAAACACATTTGAATTAGAGAACTTGAAATTTGGTCAGATGATTACCATGGTTGTGCTTTTGTTTTATTAATAAAATATAATTTATGTATATAGCTAGAATATTTTCGTGATTATGGGGGTCTCTCAAAGAGATTGTTGAATTTGAAGTTTTACATTATAGACGAACTTTGGTAAGAAGACCATGGGAAATCAATAAACACTAAGTACATATTCTACCCTGGTATGCTAATCATGATGCTAACAAACGATGTATGCCTGTGAGGAAGATGACGTACAACTAGGCTTCATGAAACATTATAACTAAAATACTTTATACATTTTGTTCCCTTTATCAACTTGAAACGAGCAAGAAGAATACTTTGAAGCTCATTTATTTATGAATTTATTTTTTGATGAAATTTAGACATTATTACCGTTAGATTCCCGTTAGGTGGTGTGGAAGTCATGCAGTTTTGCCCGAAGTCGAAGGTTTTGGTTTCTATCACCGATGGCGGGATTGTGGGTGCGCACTCCTGAAAGTCCTAGTACTATGGTAAAACAACCGTCTAGTGCTCCCGTGTTTTGAATGGTGGTCTAACTAAGACCAATTCGTGGTCGTTTCACCTTAGTATACGACCCATCAGCAGTGCATATCCACGACCCTGAAATCAGTGTTTGAAACGAGAACTTTGTCTTGCGCGCGAACGCTTAACATCTAGACCACTGAGTCGGCGTCCAACGATGTCGGTTTCTAGCTTGAATTAATCTAATATATTGTCCTCGCTGAGTAACTGCCTCTCACCTGACCTGGTTGAACTCCACCGATCACAGCTTCTTACTAGAACTTAAAAAATTCCCTCACGAAGCTAATCACTATTCGCACATGATAATTATCAGTACAGAAGTAAAAAGTTCACTTAATCTCATTAAGATTGTGAACCGATCTAAGTTAGACTATCATTAAAATCCTGTAATCACTAGACGACCGTTTCGCCCGAAAATGAGACTTCTCAGCAGTGAGAAACAACGAAATCGAAGTTGATTATTACATAATAATTAATCAATGTTTATATCTCAGCCATATAATATAACATCTGTGATTGTTGAGTTTAGTAAAGTGAGTTTAAATTGATTAATGAGCATCACTTTTCTCAAGATTATGGATACACTTGGTTAACACATACTAACTAGCCCAAAACCTCTTCGATCAACAAATGCTTCATGTCGGTTGTCTTTTACAAGATAACATACGAAGGCAATCTATATCTATACACGTTGTTATCATAGTCGAAACTTTTAATGAGAAAACTTATCAAGAAACAATTTATCTAATATAATGGAAAAAACGCATAAGTTCGAGTTTGTCGAAGCCTATGTGTTCAACTGATCAGTTGTATTGATCTGGTTTAGATATTGAATAATTAGCCTAGATTGCTTCTACAATACAGCTGCTTTACAATCAGGATAGAGCAATAACACAATAGTTGAACAAACTTTCATCACTCAGTTCAGTCCATTACTTTTGCGGTCATATAGATTAACAATTTATCCAACTACCTGGAACCTATAGAAGTATACTGCCAGTCCTAAATCCGGATAAAAAAGGAGGGTTGGACATGCGAATAATTAACTTGTCTAGTAGAAAAGAAAGTTGCCGAAAATTGGCAACTAGAAAAATCATTCAAACCATCTAAACTCCTCCCTGGAAATTGAAGTGTTATAAAACCTCACGAGGCCAGTTCCCCTTCCTACAACCAATCCAACAATTAGTATAAGTACATGTAATGAATGATTGAATATCATTCAGTGCTATGTGCCTACAAAACAATAACAGTAAACACGATAATGATCAGTAATTACTCATTATGTAATGAACGAGAGCGCATGTGGGGACAATGAATGTATTTTAATACAAGAATACAGAATCCTCTGGTAAAATGTGAGAACCATACATCCAATACTTCATTTGCAAATCTGCCATTCACCATTCCTTCATTGCCATAACAACTACTCTCTGTTCCCATTCTCTTCGGTTCAATCTTCTCAACCTTCCTCTGCTAGGCATTCCATGTGTTATATACTACTTATTTCGACAGACATAAGTAACATATACCACAATCATGCTACTAATTATAAACAATAACTTTAGGCAGAACAGTTCTGAAAGTTCGAAACCCCTTATAACACTGTCGTTTTACTTTTCTTTTTTTTATAAAAAAACAATATTTAGTAAGAAAAATTGAGCAAATTTTATTCGCTTCAGTAAAACAAAATCGTTTTGATTTAGTTAGTCGAATAATAGACGGTCATAAATGTGATATTAATGCAAGAGATAGTTTTGATCGAACACCATTACATTTGGCTGCATCATCTGGAAATTTACCAATGGTGAAATTATTAATAGAAGGTAGAGCATTAGTTGATCCAGTGGATAAAGTAAGTCATTATTCATTTCTTTTTCTTGTTATTGTTGTATTTACTATGCTATCTGATGATAAAACCGGTGTTGGAGATGGTTGGAAGAAAGTTATGGGTGGCAAAACCAAAATGTGGCATCAGTCCATAAAGTCACTAACTTCTAGTCTCAGCTATGTTGAGAGATGCACACTACTTGGTTGGGGTCGGTGTGACTATTGTAACCAATGGTTGGAGACTCTTGGTGACATGGCTCAGAATCGATCACAATGGCGTCGGTGTATACACTCTCTGTCTTCCCTTAAACTATGAGAATAAAATCGCTTCATATCTTTCTTTCTACAAACTTATTCTTTCTTCTTGTACTATATCATTATTGCAATCTTTCTTTCATATATTACCACCATTCAATTAACTACTTCTATGAATTTGGTGTTAATCTTGTTGTGTTAATGAGGTATGTCAACTTGGACCGATGCATATATGTGCCTCGTCCTACGTTGTAGCTGACTGACTGACTGATGATAAGAAGTAGTAACCCGAAACATTGTCACGTTACGTACTCTATAACTTGATGTATACTGTTATCTTGATATGAACATGTTCTGTTAGATGGGGGAATTTTAAGTCCTGCAAAGCAAGGGTGTTTTTTTCCCAAGAAGTTGAAATATTTATTTACCTGATGTTATTTCTTGAGTGATCATTGAAGTTTGACTTATATGAGCCAATATATATATATATATATATATATATATATAGATATATATATATATATATATATATATATATATATATATATTTCTGATTTATAATGCCACAACTGGTATTGTTATGTCCCGATAAGCATAATGATTGGTAAATTTTGGGATCCATTTATGGACCATTACTATGCATATATTTGTATCGTATAATTGTTATGTGACTTATCGATCGGACCAATGACGCATAAAAGAAGTACGAGCACTGTAAAGTCCTTATCGGTCCTGCTTCCCGCCTAGCCCTACTTGTTAAGTCCAGAACACCAATCTCAGCCTCTGCAATATGAATCATGTATTTCAAACATACTGGGTTTGATATAATAACCAAACAGACCACATCGTACCATAAAATAGAAAACAACATTTGCACAAAATTTAGCCCGATGTGGGTATGAATGAGGGAGATAGTAGTTAATGGACAGGGTATAATTCAAGAGTGGTAAATCGTATAACAATAGTTCATAGGTCAAAATAAAGTTTATAATAAGAGGAATATGAATAATCTAGTTACATAACAATTATACGATAAAGATATATGCATAGTTTTGGTCCATAAATGGATCCCAAAATTTGCCATTCATTATGCTTATCGGGACCTAACCGACTGAGATGCGGATCAGTCCTATCATCATCTGCTGCACAAGTTGGAACCACTACGGATAGGCCGTAGATAAGATCTTGCTGGTAATGAATCACAATATATACTGTGTATTGACTAAAGTAGTAAACAACATATGCTGTTAATTTCAGGCTCACCAACTAAATCAGTTAGGGTTTATGTTTATTAATTCAGTTATAAGACGTATTTGAATCTTCCTGTTGTTGATGTTGAGGGTGCACATATGTGCCTGGTCCTACGTTGTAACTGACTGACTGACTGACGGAATACTGCCCAAGTGCTCAAACCGAAACCATCTGATCAATCATAGTCGTTAACATCAATAATGGAAAGATTCAAACACGTCTTACAAATCCATTAAAATTCATATTCGTTACACAAATGACTGACTGTTTGAAATCAGTAGCTCAGTAGGTAATACATTGGCCGTTTCAAATGAATCCTAAAATAAAGATCAATATCAGGGTACAGATATACCAAGCTGACTAGTCTTCAATAAAACCAAACATACATCCTAGATTTAACTACTAGTCAATATTAAAACTATTTAAAAAATGCTTGTGTTTATTGGATTAACATTTTACAACTGGAACCAAACAGCAGACTAGTATTGTCTTTTACTTTCTCATCTGATTTCCATCATGTGTTCAGTCCAATGACGTGAAGATATTTACTTCATAATGGATACTATGCACTAAACAGTTAAATCAACTTTATTGAATATAGTTACCCAATAGTTACTATTATTGTTTTTTTGTTTTTGTTTTAATTTACCAGTTTGGTATTACACCATTATTTTGGGCTGTTTATAACAATTATAAAAATGTAGCTCATTATCTACTCAATATGGGGGCTAAACATAATCGAGTTACTAAGGTGAGTAGAATTTGTATCATTTTTTTGTTTGTCATGATATCCTAGGGGGGAATAAACCACCAGAGAGTGTTATTAATTGATTATTCACTGAGTTACTGACTTATGTTATGTTTATTTATAATTTAATGTTTATTGAGATTTTTCAGTAAGGTTGAAGGCATTCGGCAGAAAAAAACTAAAGATTTAGGTATTCGTCTTGGTTGGTACTCAACAGAAAGGCGTACCTGCCATCTTGAAAGATCTGAGATTAGAACCTCAATCTCATAGTCCGAGACTTCACCTCATCATCGCCGGTTTGCCTTGTTGATTAGTGTTTACCAACAGGAGATCTACATTAAACATGATTTCATGCTTACTACTTCAAACTTCATAAGTCTTTTAAGAGTCTTTTTCATTGTTGGCGCTGAAAACTGCAATTGATCGGTCTCTTTTTGGCAATATTTTCAAGTAGTCTCTGACTTGGGTTGGAGTTCAAGACATATTTCTTCCTGTCTTGAACTTGTTCACCTTCAACCACACATTAGTTACATGTATTAATATCAATAGCTAGAAAATATAAACTCATCCAAATACTTTCAGATCCGTTAGACAAGTTAGTGCTATCCCAACTAACCAGCCTAGTAGATAACATATTGTCATTAGGGTCGGAGGGCATTAAATTAGAATTTCAGTGTAGTAAACATTAACACTGAGATCCAGATACATCTAAATGACGAATCCCAGGTGAGACGAAACAGTAGTTTTGGATTTTATTTCTGGTCACCACCTAACAAAACAATGTGTCTCGGCTTAAAATTCCTTATCATACTGAAAAATACAAATATATCAATGAAGAATATTCTTTTTCATATTCTACACAGATATACTTCAAAATTGGCCATGTTTAAGGCAAATACAACGTTTACAACTACAACATATAGTGTTAATATCAGTACGAGGGTTTTTCGGAGATCATGGATTTTTCATAGATCTTATATCACGAAATGATCTAAGTTAGACCACCATTAAAAACCTAGAAGCACTTGACGGATGTTTCGTTCTCGTATAAGACTTTCATCTGTACACAGTACTGCTGGGTTCGATTTCCGGATGTACAATTCTAGATGCTCATTTCTGAGTGTTCCTAAACCAGGACAAAACGATCGTTTAGTGTTTTCAGGTTCTAAATGGTGATTTACCTGATATCCATTCATGATTCTAAGACTATGAAAATTCTTAATGTTGCAATAACTATTATGCAATGTCAATAACTTAAATATAGTTTATACATCAAATGAAAGTGTTCAGTTAATAGTCAGAACAAAGATGAGGGTCAAAAGATCAGACAATGTAAGTACAGATCAGATCAAATGTTTCAATGAAAGACTATTCTGTGTATAAAGTGATACAATTCCATTAAGATATATAATTAAGATTACTATTGATATATTGACCATGAGGCTGGTCAAAGTTAACTGGTTGGATATATTTTCCTCTTCACATACATAACTCCGTTATCTTTTCTAGAGTTTGGATGGTTATTACTCCTAGTGTTTAAAGGACTTTGAGCTAAACCGTGTTGGGTAGAAACAGGTATCTAACTTAGTACAATGGAAGATGGTCACGGAATTTCGTGGATTGGTTAAGGTTAGACATTAACACCGTTGAATGCCGGATCAGTAATCTAGAGGTTAAACGTTCACGATCGAGACTGAAGGTCCTGGGTTTGAGTCCCGAGAGCGGAGTCGTGGATGCGCACTGCTGAGAAGTCCCACAATAGAACAAAATGGCCATCCAGTGCTTCCAGATTTTCAATGCTGGTCTAACATCAATCGGCTGATGATCTCAATCAGAAAAACTTAATAATCTCCGCAACCCTATACTGACTTTGAGTTTGACTGACTTTTGGCGAAAATTACTAACGTGATAAATTACTGTCGACAATAAACTTATGCTGATATCATCTATTCTGACTATTCAGTTCATCATTATCGTTTCACGTACAAAATTAGACTTCGCAGATGATCTGGCCCTTCTATCCCAAACGCAACAACAAATGCAGGAGAAGGCGACCAGTGTAGTAGCAGCCTCAGCAGCAATAGGTCTCAATATACACAAAGGGAAGAGTAAGATTCTCCGATAAAACACAGTATGCACCAACCCAATCACAATTGACGGAGAAAATTTGGAAGATGTAAAAACCTTTACATATCTGGGCAGCACCATTGATGAACACGGTGGAACTGATGCAGATGTGAAGGCGCGAATCGGCAAAACAACAGCAGCATATCTACTACTGAAGAACATCTGGAACTCAAAACAACTCTCTGTCAACCAACATCAATGTCAGGAGTTTCAATACAAATGTCAAGACAGTTCTACTGTATGGGGCAGAAACCTGGAGAACTACGAAAGCCATCATCCAGAAAATACAGGTGTTTATTAACAGTTGTCTACGCAAAATACTTCAGATCCATTGTCCGGAGACTATCAGCAACAACCTACTGTGGGAGACAACAAACCAGATCCCAGTGGAGGAAGAAATCGGGAAGAAGTGCTGGAAGTGGATAGGACATAGATTAAGGAAAGCACCGAACAGTGTCAAAAGACAAGCCCTCACTTGGAATCCTCAAGGTCAAAGGAAAAGAGGAAGAAGAAAGTACACATCACACCGGGGAATGGAAATAGACATGAGAAAAATGAAGAAGAATTGGATGAAACTAGAAAGGAAGGCCTAGGAAAGAGTGGTTTGGAGAATGCTGGCCTGCGGCCTATGCAACATTAGGAGTAACAGGCGTAAGTAATTAATTAATTAAGTAACGTACAAAATTATTCAAATGATTACCATTGAATACTAGTAATTTCAATGTTAACAAACAATCCCGAATGCTCATATTCCATGGTTTTAAACGACGTATTTGCCTTAAATTTGACCATATTTTGACCAATTAATTTAAAAGTATATCTGTGTAGAAGGTGACATTCTTCTCCCAGTGGATTTGACAAGACAATGTAATTTTCATAGTTTAAATCACGAATTGATCATAGCTAGACCAGTAGTAAAAACCCAAAAGGTATTGGACAAGTGTTTCACTTTACTATGAAACTAATCATTAGTACCCATTCACGATCTCTCATCTGTAAAACGAACCCAGGACTTTTAGTCTCGCAAGTGAATTCTCAACCTTTAAATCACTGATCTAGCGTCGAACAGTGTTTATGTTTGACTTCAATCAATTCACAATATTCTACAACCATATTCAATTGTCTTCGGCAGGTAACTGCCTCACATCTGGCACAGTTGAACTCCACTGGTCTCATACTAAAAAGGAACGGCTATCCAAAGATTTCAGGCTCTTTATAGTCGATAACGATTTCTTGTGTCAGAAAAATTAAATTCTTTCAGTGGTACTTTTCACTGTTTCTAAAATGAATCACAGTTTTTTTATTTTATTTTTAATAATAAAGTTCATATATGCACAATGTCAAAGTTGATTATCATCTCTTCTGTTGTATTGTGCAAAATTTATCGATCATATCTGTTTCTAACCTTTTTTAATGATTAAACTGTCTCCTTTTGTACTTTTATTGTGTGTGCGTGTGTGTGAAGGTGACAGAAAGAGAGAGAGAAATAGATGAACAGAATGTGTCAATAGTATTGTTTTATCAATGAAATGAAATGAAAAGTGAGAAGTAGTGACCAGTGGACTTCAATTAGGTCTATTGTGAGATAGTAACTCACTGATGACAATGATGAATGTGTTGCTCAATTTCGTGGAATGGTTGGATTTAGACATTAACACTGTTGGATACCGGCCAGTTCAGTGGTCTAATGATCAGGCACTCGAGTGCGAGACTGGTAAGTCCTGGGTTCGAATCTCTCGAGGCGAGGTCGTGGATGCGAATTGCTTAAGAGTCCTACAATAGGACGAAATGGTCGTCCAGTACTTCCAGGTTTCCCATGGTAATCTAGCTCCAAATGACTCATGCTCTCAACTATTGGAATTACCATAATACCTATAAAAGCCCCTTCTGAAGATAAGTAAAACAGTTATTACACAAATGGTGATGATATAATCGTCAAACTTCAAAATAATATAACTGTTTTACTATGGTGACAAGAGTTTTACCACATTTTTGTTTTATGTACAAACGTTAGGTCAAAAGATTCTCTCCAAAGCAGAGTATAAGTGGCATTTGTTGTTTATTGATTATTTTAAACGGTTTTGTGATATCCAGGTCATGTTCACTATTCGTTAAGTGTCTAGCGATTGTACTTGTGACTACTTCACTTCATTTCAAATGAAGAGTTTTAAGAATATGTTCGGAAAATCTTGTAGATGCCCTTCCTTCAGTCCTTCCTATGTACTTGCTTTCATAAGTACATGTAAATTTATGAATATATTTGAAAACGACGTTAGAACTGTATTAATTGACTTTTGGCTGGTTTAAACAACATCTACTGTTATGCACTGAAAATAATCGAGCTTCGGCAAGGTTTCTTTGAAGCTCTGCTTTATTCCTTTAAGTGATTCTATCTGAAATTTCATTTCCGTTTGAACACATTTATGACACTGCCTCGGTGCCCAAACCGAAAAAGTTGATTTTCTTAATGAGACCCGACCGGAGTCTTCCACGTAAAGGTATGATCCACAAGGCAGTGGAACAACGTCAGGAGATACAATCACATAGTAGCCGGTGACCAACGATTGGTTCATACACTGTTTGTTCCTTCAGGATCCTGGAGCCCATGTGCAGCACTAGTTAGGAATCAGGGTTTTCCAACCCCACTAAGAGGGTCCTCCATATCCATCAATTCGTTTAAAGCGCTGGACATTCGCTTTTCGTCCTCTCCGCCTTGAGAAGACAGTGAGTAGGTCTTCTCTGACAGCGAGTGTATACGCGTGACCATGTGAGAGTAGTTCGACAGAGATAGGTGACTCTCTTCACCTTCGGTCTTACCAGGACATTTAAAGGCAAGATAGATGAAGATGGATTTTTGGTTAACAATTGTTTACTTGGAGCTTTCCGTGAACATTTTTTCGTTCTTCATGATACAGTACGTTGGATACCCATTTTTTATAAAGTATCCCTTAATGTATGGTATTTCATCCATTATTTTATGGCTTGAACATAATTCTCTAAACCTGTTAAATTTGATTTGATTACGGTGGGTAAAACGTTGCTGATATAAATTTAATTCGTTTACAACCGATGAGAAGCCTTAAAATATAATAGATTCACGTTATTCTTGTTGTCCTCACTTTGTTTAAATTTTCATTGTTGAAATCACGAATTGATCTTAGCTAGATCAGCTCAGCAAATCTGGTAGTACTGAACGACGTTTTCGTTCTATTATGGGACTCTTCAATTTTAGGCATCCGCGACCCTGTCACCAGGGATCGATCCAAGGAATTTCGGTTTTGTGCGTAAACGATTAACCTCTGAGCCGGAATCGCACAATTTTAGTGTTTTAACTGTAAATATACCACAATTTTGGAAAATTTCTGACACTAAATATTTAGATTTATCAAGGAATCAGTATGTGAATGGTTATAGTTAATTCGCTAAACAGTTATCGTTGTTTTCATCTGCTTATTCTAGCCAATTTTGGTAGGTTGTATTCCTTCTCTGTTGCTACATAAACATCAAACGTATATTTATCAAGGACACAGAAGTCCTGCATAATTATTCAAGAGTGGTCTGGGTTATTACCCGGTTACAAAATCATAGTAGGTGGTTTTCTTTGGAGACCACTCTCCGAGATATTAATCTAAGTATCTAATCTATAAGAAAGGGAGGGGAAATGCTAAGAGTTCCCGTCCCATGGTAGTCAGAGACCAAAATAGGCTCATACGGTATTCGTTTCCTCAGAATCCTGGTGTCTGTGTGCACCATTGTTTTGAAATCGAGATTTTTCAGTTTCTGTTCTTCGAATCTCACTATTATCACAAATTTTTGTCACTATAGTATGGTAGATGTCTGTATAGCACTGTCATCTATTCGTCACGACTTCTTGATTGGGTACTTAAAGATGAAACAACTCAGTCTCTCTACACATTGCACTTCATCCTTAAACGAAAAAACTTTATCTTGGCTGTAATTTTAACTTAACTGTACTATAATCCTTATCCCTTCATTATTTCTTTACAATGTTACCACGTCATTTCCTTCTATTTTCTGATGAATATTAAGTTGATAAATCAGGCTTGGCGCATTTCAGAGTAGTGTTTTTTATGGGTCAGGGTCTGTCAACCCTATGTCGAACTCCTATCTTTTACTCTGGCTGGAAGCCACCAGTAACCCCAGAAATGTTTCAGATAAAGTTTATTAGGCATTCTAATTAATTAAGCCTACCACGTAATTCCGTTAGAATGTTGTTATTGTTAAGGTGAGAAGTTCAACAATGCTAAAAATGAGTCATTTGTTTTGCTAAATAGAATTGAATGATGTTTTAGTATACCGTGAATCAATTAAAGTTGGGTCTAAGAAATAGCGAACTTCAGGATTACGTACCCGCTCCGTGAGATTTGAAACAGTTGTTCACATCTTCTACCATTTACCTGTATTTTGGCTGCTGTCAGTCTGTGACAGAAAACATAATGATATGGTTGGATTATAGATAGAAATGTAGTCTACGGTATGCGTTTCATTATATTCGTCATTCTTCAGCTAGACTGAACTTAATTAATGCTGATGATCGGAGTGAGATTAAAACCAAGTAACTACCAGGATGAATGATGCATCTTGGGTCCCATTACTAGCAACAATCTATTTATCTCAAAGCTCTATTCACCCAATCTCTAAGGGATCCATACATGCAAGGTAGGTGGTGATATTGTTTATTTACTCAGATTTGTGATTTGGTGAATTTAGATCGCCGAACCGATAACATTTATGACTCACTGAAAGATCTAGTTATAAACTGATCTTTGAAGTGTATTTGCAAAACATGGTGTGCTTCACGACAATAAAAATCGATTATAAACGTTTCAGATCCTATAAACTATTTAGAATCAATTTACACATATTTCATTATCATTATTTCTGAATGTATGAATTCTTAATTCTGAGTGTTTGTTTCCTCATCGACTGAAGCGGCTTACTTGTATCCAGATCATTTCTTATGAGGTTATTCTCAACGTTTCCAATATTCATTAAGTGTGTCGTACACTGAACTTTCCATCGGATTCCAGTTTCTATAGTGAGCGAATGCTACATATGACAGCAATTTTCATTTCTTTTTGCATTTTAAGTGACTGAAATTATCCATTGTTGTTTACTATGAACATGTCCAATGTAAATAACTCCAACATTCTTTAATATGTATTAGTTGCCTACTGAACTAATTACCTCTAGACTATCATTGAAAGACGGAAAGTAATCGGCAGTTGTTTTCTCCAAGTATGGAACTTCTTAACAATGAGCAACTGGAATAAAACCAATGACTTTTGACGTACAAATACTTAACTCCTAAACCACTGAGCCGGCATCTAATGATGCACATGTTTAACTTCAAAAAATCTATAATACCGCGCAATCTTCTTTCATTAGTTGTGGTGAATAACTGTTTCACACTCGACAATCATTGACTTTTACCGATCATGACTTCTCGATAGGATTCCCAAGGTTCCATCTTAAAGCTAGTCACTAGTGAGCACATAATTATTATTAATACAAGTGGATTTGCGGAAATTACAGAAATGTTATTGAAGATTCCTTTTACAAAATTTATCAATTAATGCAATCATTCATATCGATGAACTGATATAAAACGTACAAGTGTCTGACATTGAAATTCAAGATGTATATTTCGTCCTAACGATGACTCGTCAACTGGATGTATATGGATCATCTCAATATACATCAAACGGAGATTTGCATCACTTACCTTTATTTTTAATAATAATCACCACAACGCCATACTGATAATTACCATGTGCTCTATTAGTGACTAGCTTTGTGACGAAATTCTCAGAGTTCTAGTGAGAAGCCATGACCAGTAGAGCTAATCCGTGTCAGGTATCTACCTCAGTACGATTTAGGGCAGATTGGTTGATGTTGGACATTAGTACCATTGGACGCCGACTCAGTAGTCTAGAGTTTAAGCGTTCGCGCATAAAGCCGAAGTCCCTGGATTCGAATTTCGTGAGGTGGAATCGTAGATGCTCACTGTTGAGATGTCCCACAATAGGACAAAACGTCCACCAAGTACTTCCATATTTTCAATAGTGCTCTAACATCAATCAGTTCATGATCTCAAATAGATACAAAAACATTTTCTAAACTTAATCATAAATCTTCACAAACCACAATTGTTAATTGTTTGTTTCAAAATGTTGATTAATCATGTGAGATGAATAGAGAAAAGAAAGAAAAAGAAAAGAAAAGAATTAAACGGATCACTCAAAACAAGTAACATGTGATGTATATTTACATTTTGATGATGATGATGATGATGACGATTGCCCTCTTTGTTGAATTGATTATTTTCATTTCTTCTCTTTTCTTTTTCTTTCTTTTCTTTTTTTTCTTCTTTAGCAAGGTTTTACAATTTTGCATTTCATTTCTGAATCGAATGCTATTTCAATATTAAAATATTTACATCGTAAATCATTAACATTAGAATATGATGTTGCAGATAATGTAAGTTGTGTGGATTGTTGTTGTTGTTTTTCTTTCTTTTTTTGTTTCTTTTTTCTCTTTTTTTTATTTTCTTGTTAAACATAGATTTGTGTGTGTGTGAGTGTGCTGAAATAGAAAAAAACAATTTTCATTATTAAATGAATAAATTATATAGGTGAGTATAGTGATTTAATCATCTTGAAGGAATCCTAAAAGATGAATTTATGCTGAAGACTGTACAAAGATTAATTTACTTACTCGTGTAGAGCTAAATAGGTAGGTCAATCGTCAAGGCTACTGTCACAACACATTCGGTAGTATCTAACAGCATGGTTTAACAAATGTCAATTATATAGTCGACTCTTCAACATGTAATAGACATAGAACATTCAACGTCCACCTCATCCTTTGACATCATTTACAGAATACAGTCAAATATACTTTAGATCACTAACTCAGATGATCCACGTCGAATGATTGGGGGCCTGCTCAAATTAGACGGAAATGGTGTGACTGAAAGCCAACTTCAAAGTAACACCTCGTGATCACCACCTAACATGGATTACCTCTTCGTTGTATCAAGGTAGGATGGCTGCTTTGAAGACCGTATAACACGAAAGACGTCATTACAACAATGTATTAGTAAAGGTAGATACAAGGAAGCAGTTACAACCACCACCTCATGGGTCAGTCCATGGTGTGTAATTAATTGATGCGTGTTGGTTGTCCTTGACCTTCACACAAATCAATGATCTGTTCAATATTCAGTGACCCAACTGTCGGACCATTTGGCTAAGGCTCAATAACATTTCACTGACCCTACAATACCAACATATTTTACATCAAATAAGCTTTGGTCAACTGTAATGTCAGACTTTCGTTGAGCATACAAAAAGGATTTGTCAGATTCCTCTCTCTTACATTTGTAAATGAGGACCGTGATTTACAGAAGAGTTTGCATTATCTGTTTTCCAATGTTTAATACGTGTGAAATACCAAGCATTTTCCAACAGTTCTATGTTTATTTAGTTGGTGTATGCAGAATGTAAGAGCATAATTTTCACTAGAGACTTCATTCTATGCATGGACTTTCTATGGATCGGTATCTTTTATTTCGTGTAATGAGATTCGTTTCGTTGATCGTTCATGGTAGACGGATCTGTAGAAACCTGCAAGTGTTTGAGATTAAATTTTCAAGTTAAAATCATACTCCAACATACACGACTCATTCATGAAATGATCGCGAGAACACTCGATAATACTACCATACTGAAGACTTATTGAAGATTGTGAGATGGATGGATGAATTCACACTGCCTTACTACAGTTTATTATGTTTGTTATCAGAGTTGGTGTTTCCGCTTAGATCTCCTGACTACTACTATTGACATAACTCTGTCATTACAACAACAACAACAACAATACTCCAGGTACACCTTTCCCTTCTCATACTACTTAAATGTATTGCCTTAACAACTCTATTTCTCGATATAGCGTTGTGGAGACTGTTAAATTTTATTGAAATGACTAACCGATGAAAATCGATATGTTAGGCATTTGCATGTATGACTGAAGATCATTGGTTCAACTCGTGATTGTGGGTTGTGGATGCGTACTGCTAGGCAATCCCATACAAGGGTGAAATAGCTGTCCAATGATTATCTTACTTAAATCGGTTAGTCATTTCAATGAAATTCAATAATTTCCACAACTCCATACTGACAGTTCTATAGTTAATCAAACTGTATGAGGAGAGGTTATTTATGTATAAATAGTCTCAATTATTAACACATTTGGGTAAATGTGAGTATGTTTATGAACGGCTATTACTTAATCCCTATTTAGAGTGATTATGTGCTTCAGTTTAAATCAGTGACCACTTAGATATCATTCATTTAAATATAATTCAATCAGTTTCCATTGAGGATTCATCCAAGAGATTAGATAAACGATTTTCTCTCTTTATCGTTACTGTACGTTTGCAAGAACCTTGAGAACTGAAATTTGACATAGTTTCATCCTGTCAAACTATGAGGTGAAGTAATATACTAACATATTGGGCCAGTTACACATCAACCAAGAAATAAGCATATGTTATTGGTCATTAATTGCCTTCACTTTCCAAAGCGACTTTATTTTCTAAGTGAGAAAGATGTTTCTTTATGAATGAGTGTACACATGTTATCGATTCTTCTACCTTACTTTATATCATCTCACTTAAGTCACTAGTTTGGATTCGTGTGTAGGAAGCCTATACATCAGTATCAGTACTCGGACGATTGCACAATATAACACTTATCGTATTTGAATTTTATTTCTTTATTTAAACACATAAACACTGGTACAAAGAAGCACCAAGTACATGTGTGAGAGCTAGAATACTACCTTGGTACTCAAACCGATACAAGTTTTTTCCTAGAGGGCCAATCGCCATGCTTTTAACCTAGAGGTCTGATCCAAAAGGCAGTAGAGAAGGTTTAAGCGATGTATTCCCATTGTAACCGGTGACCGACAATAGGTTCATACGCTATTTATTCCCTCAAGATCCTGTAGCCAATGTGTAGCATTAGTTTGGAATCAGGGTTTTCCAACTCCATTGAGTGGATCCTCCATATCCACCAACCCCATTAAAGCACCGAACATTCACTTTTCGTCTTCTCAATTTCGTAGACAACAGCTCCGCCTTGAGAAGAAAGTGAGTAGGTCTTCTCTGACAGCGGCTATATACGCGTGACCATGTGAGGGTATTTCGACAGAGAGAGGTGACTCTCTTCACCCTCAGTCGTACCAGGATATTTGAGGGCCTTATTTGGATTTACTTCACTTGATTCAATTCGAGAATGCGGAAAAAAGTACTTAAAATAGATAATGATACTTGAACAAAATTACCTTTGAATAGGTCTATGTTACCGTTGTTATTAGTAGTGATGAATTCATAGTTTTTTTTTCAACTTCTTGTTCTTCTACCACTTAACTATGCATCAGTCAATTGTTAGAAATAAAATTGAAATATTAAAATCCATCATCATAAGTGGATTAATTGTAGTAACTAATACCTTAATGTGTACATTCATACACTTACACATAGATAAGTAAATAATCATTACTCTTATTATTCCATACTATACATTTTTGTGATTAGATTTTTAAAACATCTCAACACAAGATGTTCAGCATTCCAATAGAAGTCTTATCTTGGTTGAGATCATGAATTGATTAATATTAGATTATCATTGAACACTTGGAAGCACTGGATGGCTTTTTCGTCCTAGCATGAGATGCTTTAGCAGTGCACCGCCTAGTGCTTCCAGGTTTTCAGTAGTGGTCTAACATTGATCAATTGATGATCTCAATTAAAATTCAACAATCTCCACAACCCTATACTGAGAAGTCTTGTGTTTCTTTTTGAAAACCTTTACATTGTGATTAGCTGTCATTCATATTCATTTTGTAATTGTTTGCTATCACTCTCGCCTCCACCATTCAGCATATTTATTGTATGAATTAGATTGTTCCTTCTTTTAAAGTACAAAGGAGAAGTAGAAGGAAAGTAGTATGAATCAGCTTGATGGAGTAATTTAACCACTCATTGAATCATATCATTGTACTTTAACATACAATCTACTTAAAGCACCATCTAAAATTCACTTTTGTTTTGGTTACATAATAGATCTTCTTTTTATTGATCGCAAACATTTTAATCAACAGTTGTTGCTCATTTCCATCTCGTTACTAAGATCATACATACATATTTGTTACTGTACTTTAAGTTTTGTGTTATCATCATTCTGATTGATTAATCCAAGGTCATCAGTATAATATACTTTTATCATTAGTAATAAATCTATAATAGAATGACATATAGCAACAGTTTATGAATTAGATGAAAGCTTACAACTTGGAGAATATAATATACATTTATCATTAAACGCGAGACCATAAACTATGGACGAACTAATCAGGAGTGAATGGGCGAGTTCAAGGTCATGGCACAGTTTTAGTAACCATTGCTCACGTACGATCGGTTTACAATGGATTTCAAGGAGGATGTTATAGTTGAGCGGATAGAGTAGATGAAATTGCTGAGAAGTTCCTTTGTTTGTGATTGTGGTGTTCAAATGACTACTGGACATTGTGGAGTCTATCGTGATGACGTTGTATTTTGATGTAATAAATGTTGTTGGAAAACGTCTGCTAGAACGAGGATTTTTCTTCACTTGATCCCAATTGACACTAAGATAGGTTATGATAACTGTTGCAAACTGGATAATAAAAGTGCCAGTAATACTGTTTGCAACCTTTGCAATTGACAGTTCAGTGGTATGAGTACTGCCGAACTATATGTGAATGAAAATGACAGGACTGAATCCGTCGTTTGAAGGATTCGAGAGAATCGTATGCATTACGATTACAGAATTGCAGAGTGTTTTTCTAGCCTTGAAAAGTTTTTAAACCGTGTTAAAGAAGTATATCCATTCTAATTTTTTTGGTTTTATATAATATATTCCTACTCTAAACCGACTGGCTGAAGTTTCCCAGGGTCACTTAAGATACACTCGAAGGCCTTCCATAAATTATAGACTCGCCCTGTCCTTTTTTCAATGTTCAGTAAAGGTGTAATATGTCTTCTATGGACAAGATATTGTAGTGCATTTCAACTTGCCAGATGAATTAAGTAAATTATGAGAAAATTAGAGCTTGAAATGAAATCTACAATGAAATTTATTTTTAATAGTTGAATTCATGAGTCAAGTGAAGCTAGAACACCACGAAAAACCTGAAAGGACAGTACGGCAGTTTCGTCCTATTACGGGACTCCTCAGCAACTGTGTCATTTGTCTACCGCGTAATATCATGGATTGGTTCAAGTTAGACTTTCATACTATTAAGTGCCAGCTAAATGGTTTGGAGGTCGAACGTTTGTGATAGTTCCAGAATATTTATTATCCAGTTTTAATTATCTAATGTAACAAAAACTGTAGGAAATTTATAAAGACAGGGATGGATATGTTTGTCATACTCACTAGACAATGATTACAACCAATGTAAGAACATGAATGAGAAAAAGGCTCCAACTATTTAACTGGTCTCAGTCACAACGGTAGACCACGGTTAACCGCTGACCGTTAGCCACAGCTTCCGCAGCTTTTAAAAACGTACGATTGAATTATGTTGTTGATTCCTTTGAATATATTCTAAGCATCTAGTTCGCTCCTAGTGTTTAATAGTTGGCTTGCTATGAAATTAAAGAGAGAATATCAAGTCATCGAAGAAGTAGGTTCTTGAAAATATGACTGTCTTTACTGTTAACCTTGTATAAAGATTATTTTCCCTATCAGTAAATGAATGAATACATAGACTGTAAATCGACGATTCACGAAAGACTAGAACATTCAGCATTAAAATCACCAAACTAAACTCACGATTAAATGATAACAGTTTACAGATCCGATGAAAACTTCAGATGATGACGGGAATGGGCACAATAATTTATTTTCTATGTTTGTTTGAATTTTCCAATTGATGTTTAAGACTGTAATTGACCAGTCTCTTATTGACATAGATACATCCTGTATGTATTGCTTCGATATTACCTTAAGTCACAATCATCAACTCTGAGATGTAGATACATTCAGTTGACGAGTCTCGGATGGGACGAAACACGCGTCTTGAATTTCATTGCTAATCACCATTAATTTTTATTAAGTTTGTCACTTTGCACTTGAACTTGTTCATGATAACACTTTTTTTAATAAATTTATTTTATTAGAATGGAATGACTCCATTTTTAATAGCTGCTTCCAAAGGAAATGAATTATTAATGGAGATTTTGGTTAAACGAAACTGTAATGTGAATGCAACAGATCTGGTAAGTTAGAATGGAATTTATATACAGTTTAAATGAAATGTTATGCTTGAATTATTTGGTGAGACTAGAATTTATGGACGAAACCAATCAGGCGTATAAGATAACAGATCTGGGATTTTGGCGCGAATTTCACTCATCCATTTGGATAAATAGGGTCTTGTCATTATAACTGCATGTCGGTTCGTGATGGAAACCCGAAATCTAATTCCTAACCTTAATTGTCAACTGTAAATGAGAATTCTAATTCCTCACACACAGGTTCATAACCCTCATTTGATCCTAGTTATTAGGTGAACACTCTCAAGTTCATTCTGGTGTCGCTCAACGGCCGTCCATTAATTATAGTCTCACCAATTATTCTATGAAAGCACAATATAATAGTTATATCAATGAATTTAACCTAGTACAAACATATTTATCGTCTATGATAACACGTCGAATAGAGCTAAATAGATGTAATAGTTCGGCTTACATGTCATGATGATTCAATAAGGCTATATTGGCTGGAGCACATACTGCTTCTGGTTCTACCATAGTAGATAGGTTAGTTGGAAGGCTGTAAGACCAAAGTAACAGAGTAATAATCCTGGGACAATGTTGTACTTTTGATTGTGAGATTTCCTGTCAGAAACCAGTGTCTGTAATGATGTCGTCTCCCCATCACAGAAGGGGGTTTGAAATGTTTGGAATATCAACAGAATATCTCGTCTTAGTCCTATTGTGGTGCATACTACTTATGTCTGTCGACATAAGTAGTATATAACACCAATTAGAAGTGTTATAACTTGTGAATTGAATGCTGATTGTATTAGCTCTTTCAATGCTACTTTTTATATCTGGTCGTCGCTGATTGTTGTGTCAGAAACGCTTATCACCTATACTCGGAACGAGGAACCTCTGCAATTTCCACGACGCGAAAAGTAAGAACACAAAGACTGGTATAAGTGGTGATTTATTAACCCACAAAACACGACGACGACGACTCTAGTCGAAAATACACTCATTTATGTATTGATTGTACACACACTTTGATTAATAATTAGGATGAAATCACATATATGAAAAATACTTGGAGTTATAACAAATCACATAGTGAGCATAGTTCATGTCCATTGAATACAAGAATATCTCACATATTATACAGGATAGAATATCATACGAGAAAAGAAAGCAAATACTTCACTGAATGATCATCACATTGAATCAGAACGGAAGTAATCTTGAATAAAACTCATAATGAGTAAATCAAATCGAATTTTGACTTTTCTTTCCATCATCTCAAGAAGTGAAAGACCTGGCAGTAGAAGGTCGGAAAGTTCAAATCTAAGAGAACAGGGTCAGAGAGTAAACTGTAAGAACGATAAAAGAACGACGACGTTTGAGAAAATTTCTGTACAACTTGCAAATGAAGTATTGAAAACCTGAAAGCACTGGACGGCCGTTTCGTCCAGTGGTGGTCTAACTTAAATCGGTTAATAATGTCAATAAAGTAGTTATATTCACTTTATTCACTGTTGTAATTACATTCTCTAAACCCATGTTACAGTTATCTCCAGTTTTTGAGTATTCGTTGAACATTCTTTTACCATGCTTTTGTGTTCTTAATCTCCATTCGATTGTTGATAGTCACTACTGAATTCAGACACAATTATCGATTGCCATTTACCCTATTGTATGTTGTAACTACCTTTTATGTTGGCATTAAAGGAAGTATTTGCGTTTCCAGACATGCCGACCTGTTAATCCTCATAGGTGTCACACGGGTAACGGCTTGTAACTAATTGTTATATTGATATATCTCGCGAGTCGGGGTCGTGGATGCGCACTGTTGAGGAGTCCCACAATAGGACGAAACGATCGTCCATTACTTCCAAGTTTTCCATGGTGTTCTAGCTTCAATTGGCTCATGATCTCTACTATTAAAATTACTATAATATCCACAAGCATCCGTTCTGATACCAATCAATATATGCTCACTAGTGACTGGCTTCAAGAGGTATTTCCTGAACTTCTAGTGAGAAACGGTGACCAGTGGAGTTCAACCGGATCTGTTGTGAGATAGTAACTCAACGATGAGAATGGTGGAAGTGTCAGTCAATTTCGTGGATTAGTTGAAGTTAGACATTAACATTGTTGGATGCCGGCTTAGTGGTCTAGATGTTAAGCGTTCGCGCGCGAGACCGATAGGTCCTGGATTTGAATCTCGTGAGTCAGGATCGTGGATGCACAATGTTGAGGAATGTCACAATAGGACAAAATGACCGTCCAGTTGCTTCCAGGTTTTCAATGATGGTCTGGCTTCAATTGACTCATGATTTCAACCATTGAAAGTTAACGAGTTGTTTAGATATATCGTTATTTTGAACCATGATTTCACACGTATCTCCGCCGTTTGATTGGATCCTTCAATAGATAGAACCATATGTATAGATTTTACATGTTATAAATTACAAACATACCTAAGACTATAATTGTAACATTGAATATACATATACAAGTTAGATCATTCTTATTTCATTATGGTATGTAAAGTAATTGGAACATTATTTATTACCATAGATATCATCTTCTTCATATTGCTTTTTCTTAGTTTCTATAATTATTTATAGTTATATACATATGATATCGATATTACTATACTACTGATGATTTAGCATCTCTACAATGGTTAATTGTTTTAAAAGTTGAACAATACCATCCATTATCATTTAATGATGAACTTAAAATCTATAATGACGTTTTGGTATATAATAAAGGTTTGATTATCAAGATAGTTGGCATAAGTGATTAAGGAATCCATACAAGCATATGAAACAATATTATTTAGTATCAGAATGGATTTTTCTGTGTGGGATATTATCGTAATTTAATAAAGTTGAGGTTATGAGGCAATTGAAGCTAAACACCATGGAAAACTTGAAATATTGGACGTCGTTTCGTCCTATTGTGGGGACTCCTCAACAGTGCGCATCCACGACCCCGACTCGCGAGAGATCATCAATATACAATTAGTACGAGCCAGTACCCGGTGACACACCGGGATAACAGGTCTGCTTGTCGGAAAGGCAAAGACTTCCTTCAATGCCAATATAAAATTAGTTACAACCATAAATCGGGTAAATGGCAATCGATAATTGTGTCTGAATTCAGTAGTGACTATCAACAATCGAATAGGAGATTAAGAACATGTAAAGAGCATGGTAAAAGAATGTTCAACGAAATATATTTCTAACTTCAGTCAATTGAAAACTAACATCCATTGCTTTAAAAGGACCAAAGGTTTTGCGTTCGGCTCCTGGATGCGTGGTCGATAATATGTACTCATAAATGAATTCTACTAGGACAAAACGGTCACCCAGTTTCTTCAGGTCTTTAATGGAGACCTAGTTGCAAACGCAACAACAATGCAGGAGAAGACGACTAACGTGGCAGTAGCCTCACAGCAGTAGGTCCAATATACACAAAGGGAAAAGCAAGATCCTCCGATACAACACAACATACACCAATCTAATCACAATAGACGGAGAGATTTGGAAGATGTAAAAGCCTTTATATATTTGGTAGCATCATTAATGAACATTGGATTTGGTGCAGAGTGAAAGCGCGGATCGGCAAATCAAGAGCAACATATTTGCAACTGAAGAACATCTAGAACGCGAAACAACTGTTAACCAACACCAAGTTCAGGATTTTCAATACAAATGTCAAGACAGTTCTACTATATGGGGCGAAAACCTGGAGAACTACGAAAGCCATCATCAAGTAGATAAAAGTGTTTATTAATAGTTGTCGACACAAAATACTTCGGATTCATTGGCCGGACACTATTAGCAACAACCTACTATGGGAGAGAACAAACCAGATCCCAGTGGAGGAAGAAATCAGGAAGAAGCGCTGAAAGTGGATAGGACACATAATGAGGAAAACATCGAACTGCATCACAAGGCAAGCCCTCATCACTTGGAATCCTCAAGGTCAAAGGAGAATAGGGAGACCGAAGAACACATTACGCCGGGAAATAGAGATCGACATGAGAAAGATGAACAAGAATTGGATGGAATTAGAAAAGAAGGCCCAGGACGTAGTGGGTTGGAGAATGCTGGTCGGCGGCCTTTGCTCCATTAGGAGTAACAGGCGTAAGTAAATAAGTAAGTTCAGATCAGTTAGTGCTTTAAAATATGAAAATTCTACACTCTCCACAAATCCCTCACACAATAATATTTATTTGTTACACACATTTATTATAATAAAATAAAGCTAGACATTTTTAGTATCAGGATATAAAATGATTGGAGATAGTTTGGGAAACACTTTGTATTGACCGAAGTCCCCTGATAGCTGGAACTCATAACCCAAGTTGTACCTGCTATCTTGAGGAAACTAATGTTATCCCTACTGTGAGATTACAGTCACTTTAGAAAAATATAGTGCATACAATGTCAACTCTGACAAGTTGCCATAGATACAAGTTGATTCATAGACTTTTCAACAACATTAAATAACTGGGCAAAAATGACATTGGTCAATGTGGTGTGTGCTACTGATGTCGATAGATATAAGTAGTGTGTATCATCAATCGAAAGTTGAATGTCTGATGAAAGAAACTTGAGAAGAGAACAAGAACACAGAGCGATTGGTATAGAAATGAAGGAACAGTGTTGTCTAAGACGATTGATTGACGCTTTGCAAATAAAGTATTTACTGTATGGTTCTCGGATTCTATCAATAGGTTCTGTAATTTTTTATTCACATACGTGTGGTTGTTCCGAACTTGTGTTCTCGTTCACTACAATCATTAGTGCGTGATCATTCAATTTAGAGATATACATTAATCAAAATTGCAGTTTTACTGAATTTTAAGATGGTGATCGGAGGTAGTCAAAAGGAAACTCTGAACCTGTTTCGTGCTACTATGCAGTCGTCAGCATGGTGTACCTGTAATCTTGAAGGAACTGATGCTCTCTGACAGATTTGATCCCGTTTTACCCAGCTTCACAGTTAGAGACGTTACCATTGGGTAATAAGAAAGACCTGACACACATGTCACTGATCACCATCTAGTGATCAATCAACTGTCAATACATATCAGTCCTACAGGAAGTCAGTCGCGCCCCGGTTAGCCCAGTGGTAACGTCTCTGACTGAGAAGCTAGGTGAAACGGGATCAAATCCATCAAGATTACAGGTACACCATTCTGATGACTGCCAAGTAGCACGAAACCTAGTTCCAGGGTTTCCTGTTGACTACCTCCAACCAGATCATCTTATCTTTAACATAGTGCACATAATGTCGAGTCACCTAGACTAGTAGCCACATTACAATTTGATCGATAAGATTTGATCTGTACTAAGAAAAGAAGGACCTGACATACATAGTCATTGATCATCATCCAGTGATCAATCAATTATAAACTAAATTTTTAAACATGAAACTACATGAAAAATTCTATTCGTAGTTTGTTTGTATTTTTTGTTCTTTTTTTAGTAAATCACATGGATACATCATGCAGTTTTAACAATATTTTTTCTTGTTTTAGTTAGTTGGAAAAATCTAGATGATCTAGGAGTTTTTAAGTTGGACTTTGTATTCGTTGAATTAAATGTGGAAATTCACTCAGTATTGTTTAGATGTTGTTTGGAGGTAGTCGACAGGAAACCCTGGACCCGGGTTTCGTGCTACTTGGCATTCGTCAGTAAGGTGTACCTGTAATCTTGAAGGAACTGGTGCTCTCTGGCGAATTCGATCTTGTGTCACCCAGCTTCACAGTCAGAGACATTACCACTGAGCTATCCGAGCCGCAACCGACCTCCCTGTAGGACTGAGATGTAATCACAATTGATTGTTTGTGTTAAATCTTCGCATTGATGTTTAGGATCTCAATCGATCAGTTTCTTATTGGCATATGTGACTATCTCAGGACTTAGTAACTAAGTGGATACCTCGATGGCGTTTGAAAAGAATGATACTGAGTTCAAGTTCTATAGTGAACATCCACTCTGAGATACAGGTATATCCAGCTGACAAGTTTTAAATAAGATGAAGCGTACTTCAAATTTGATCCCACTACTAGTCACTATCCATCACAATTGATTGATCACTGGGTGGTGATCAATAATTGTATATGTCAGGTGACACGGGATTGGATCCGCCAGGGAGCACCAGTTCCCTTAAGATTACAGGTACACCTTGCCGGCAAGTGTTAAGTAGCATGAAACCCGGGTCCAGGGTTTCCTGTCAACTACCTCCAACCACCATCTAGTTACTATCCATATTTGCTTAATAATAATAATCATCATCATCTATATTATTAACTTACTATGTGGTGTCATTGGTATATTAATTTTTCCATTAAATTTTATTAATTCATTATCATTTTGTTGTTGATTATTATTTAATTTTTGTGATTCAATTAATATTGATTTTTCTTTGAATTTATCCCTTATTACATCATCGGTACATAATTGATTACCATTACTATTATTATTATTATTATTAGTAGTAGTAATAGTAGTATTAGTATTATTATTAGTAGTATGTAATGGTATAATTAATTCACGATTTGAAATATCTTTCAATTGTATTCCATTATCATAATCACTATGATGAGTGCATTGTTGACTATGTTGATATCGTCTTGATGATGATAATGATGGTGTATATTCATTAGGTTGATTGATTTTTAAAGAGAGATTATCCTTTGATTGTTGAATCACATTTGACCCATTCATTATTGTTGTTGTTGTTGTTGTTGTTGCTGGGGCTTTTTCATTTAAATATAATTTAGTATCTGGGTATTTTGTTATAAAATGTTGTGTATTTGAATCGATAATAATGATGATAAGGATGTATCATTTGTATCTGATTGTAATTGATTGAATTTACATTTGATTGTTTTATTGAAATCATCCATTGAATCATTATTAGATTGTATGAGAGATTTGGTATTTTTAACCTTTTTATTATTACTATTAGTAGTAGTAGTAGTAGTATTAGTAGTATTATTAGTAGTATTAATATTGTGTATTGAAGAAATTCGATTTGAGTTAAGAAGTGAATTATCAATGGAAAATTTAGACTTGGCTTCAGGTAAACTAAAAATTTCAGTTTGTTCCATTGGTCCCGTATCGAATTGACAGTGTAACTTGAAAACAAAAAAAACACAACAACAAAGAAACACACAATAATGTCATGAGTATGGCATAACTTCACAGTTTCAAATATTGAGTAGTTGTTATTATTAGAGATGTATGTATAGTTAATCGAGTATGAGATCGAAGGTCCTGAGTTCGAGTCCCTTTCATGAGGGATCATGGATTCGCAGTAATGAGGAGTCGTCCCATAATAAAACGAATTGGTCGTCCAGTGCTTCTAGGTTTTCAATGATGGTCTAACATCAATCGGTTCATGATCTCAATTAAAAAACTTAATAATCTCCACAAACCTATCTTGATGATTACTGGGCAGTTGTTATTGTTAGAAATAATATATTTCTTCGAGTATGGGGCAGAAAACCCTGCGTTCAAATTCCTTTAGTGAGGGATCATGGATGCGCATTCATAAGGAGTCCCATAATAAAATGAATTGGCCGTTCAAAGCTTCCAGCTTTTAAATGATGATCTAGCTTACATCGACTCATGAATTGAACTAATAAAATAAATTATTTCTCTGAAGAAGTGGCTTAAACTGAGTTAAGAAACGTCAGAAAATTATTCGAAAGACTAAACAGTCGGTACATTGGATAATATGGAAGAAGAAATAACAAACTGTTTTGATGAAAGGTCGATATTATTAGTAGTTATGTAACAATCAATAGAGAGACACATGAAAACCTTAATTCTCGTATCGGTTATAAAATAGTTAATTCTTTGATGCTCGGTGAATGTTCACTTTTGTAGACAATTTAATATTGTATCTATAAAGTCACCATTGGACTCTCTTTTGATAGAATTTCTTTTTGTAGAACTGAAAGATGGATTACCTCTTTTGTTACTAAATTTGATACAAAAAAGTCTATATTCCTTATGTGTGGAACATTTGTGAATGATCTTAGTATTATCATAAAAGGGTTTTTATGGATATTACAACACCTTAATAGTTGAGTTCATGAGTTATTTGAGGCTAGATTACCATGGGAAACCTAGAAGCATTGAACGGCCATTACTCCCTAGTATAAGACTCCTCAACAGTGTGTATCCACGATCTTGCACGCGGAATTCAGACCCAGGACCTATTGGTCTCTCGTGCGAACACCTAACGTCTAGACCGTTGACCCGGCATCCAACGGTGTTAATGTCTAACCTCAACCAATCCACGAAATTGCGCCACCATCTTCTATTGTACTGAAGTTTTCAATGGTGGTCTAACATCAATCTCTACAACCCTATACTGATAAACATAGTTTTAATTATTATTTAGTTAAACAATCAGGGAAGTTGACAAGTAGACGGTTTAGATTCTTTATTGAATTAAAACAATGACTTACATTGATACTGGTATCAATCATTTCATCAATGAAATTCATTTAGACATTTTAAAGTTAACTCTCTAACTGTACGTTTTGGATTCATTATCCATAGAATGACGCTTATTGAAGATTTTCAACCTGATGATTTACCGAAATTTGATTCTGGCCATATCCTAACAGTATTAGCTTTAATCGACTAAACTTGTTGAGATATATAATTATATATGCTTCATTATTAGTCAAATCAAAGTACATTATTGATTGGTATAAGGTTTGAGTGGATGAAAGATAAAGGAGAGTAAATCAAAGCGTGAAGTCACTTGTTGACTATTGATTTAAGTCATGGAGGTAAGTAAAGACTGTTTAGTTAGAATTGAGTTAAACGGTTAGAAAAGTTAGATGATATGGCTAATCACAATTGATTACTCACTGGGTGGTGAACGATATCATGTGTGTCAAGTCCTTATTATTAGTGTACATCGAATGCTATCGATCATGTTGTAATGTGGTCACCAGTCTGAGTGACTCAACACTGCGGGCATTATATATTGAGATTAGATGGTGGTTGGAGGTAGTCGACAGGAAACCGTGGCTAAAAATCAGTTCAAATTTGATAGATGTATTCAAACATTATTATCATTAACATCTTGAGTTCAAAAATTTTACTCTTCCATTCTGTGTTTTGTAGCTAAATTCTTAATGTTTAATCTTCCACAACACAATTTATTTCTACTTCTTTGATATTCATTCTATTGAATAGTCCTTTGAAAAAACTTATTTTGACAGTGGTGTTTCTTCGCAGACTGATCTTATTTAAGGTACCAATACAAAAAAACTATAAAATGCTGGATAGTTGTTTTGTCCTGGTAGGGCACTCTTCAACAATTAACTTTCTTGACTCTGTGTTTTATTACTTATTTACGTCTGTTACTCCCAATGGTCATAGGCCTATGACCAGCATTCCTCAAACCACTACGTCATGGGCACTCCTTTCCAGTTTCATCCATTTTTTGTTCATTTTCTTCATGTCTGTTTCTGTTTCTCGACGTGATGTATTCTTTGGTCTTCCTCTTCTCCTTTGACCTTGAGGATACCAAGTGACGAGGGCTTAACTTGTGACGCAGTTGGATGCTTTCCTCAATGTGTGTCCTATCCACTTCCAGCGCTTCTTCCTGATTTCTTCCTCCACTGGAATCTGGTTTGTTCTCTGCCATAGTAGGTTGTTGCTAATAGTGTCCGGCCAATGGATCCGAAGTATTTTGCGTAGACAACTGTTGTGGAACACTTTTATCTACTTGATGATGGCTTTCATAGTTCTCCAGGTTTCCACCCCATACAGTAGAACATATATCTCTATATACAAACAATAAAAAAGACACAACAACTAATTCAATCGATTATAAACTTACCACTTTATTTGATGGTAAATATTGATTAATCAATGGACAATGATTCACTATAGCACTAAATGACATTCCTTTTGATTGTTGTTGTTGTTGTTGTTGTTCTATTCTTCGTCTACCAGGAATAAATGATTTTGTATGATTGAATGCTTTTTCACGAAACCAAAATCCTCCTCCTCGTCCTAATTTATTATGATGATAAGGATTCAGTAAACCCATTTTACGTTTTAATTCTTGATCAGATTTCCAATTTTTCATTGTTAATAAATTCCAATTTGTTGATAAAATTTCATCACATTTTGTACGATTTGAATTCATAGCAACTTTTGGTAACCAACAAGTGGATTGTATTGAATCTTGCCAATGATTATGATGATGATGATGATTATTGATTAATAGATCATTATTATTATTATTACTGATAGATTGATCACGTTGACTATGACATGGATTACTTAGATCATCATCATCATCATCATCATCATGATCATCATCGTTATCATTGTCATTATTACTACTACTTATACATAGATCATGTTGTAATGTTTGTGAATCATTTACATGGATTTCATTAAGTCCTATTAATGGTGGAACTAATTTAGATAGATGTTTTGTTGATGAGATCAAATGATCTGATAGATTGTCAACTGAACTATTCGTTGTAGTAATCGAAGAAGTTGTACCAGCAGTAGTAGTCGTAGTGATATTTATCGATTTCGATTTGTCATTTTGATCAATTTCATAATGAATAGATCGAGTTAATAATGGATTATGATTACTATCAGTGCTGTTAGTAGTAGTAGTAGTAGTATTTAATACTTGTGATTTCGATGTATTCAAATCGGAATTTTGTAATAATAATGATTGTTTTTGATTTCGTTGATACGTCTGATGACGATGTTGTTGTTGTTGAAGACTATTAGTACTATTACTATTACTATTACTGTTACTATGATTCTCCAAAGTGATATATTTTACAAATGAATTCTCTTGTCTATAGGTTGGTAATACATATTTATTCAATGATAAATTATCTTGTGAACGTAATCCCTGGATATATAAATAGAATGAAACAAGAATGATATAAGAGGATGAAATATGTGGAGATTGTTGGTTACTGTGTGCGTGTGTGTGTCTATTTTTAAGTAGCCAAGACTACCAAATACTACCCACATGTATCTATCTATCTATCTATCTATATAGGTGTGTATGCCGTTAGCAACACATAAATGCATACATAGTTTCTCTCATGGGCTATTGGAAACAAACTTAAATTTCATGTTTTTTTTTCTAAGAAGAAAAAAAACTTTCATTTCTTTTTTATATATCAAGTCATGTGAAACTATAAATCACAGGTGCTCCATCTATTCAATAATTAGTCAAACACACATATGTACATAGTAACAAGTACACTATTTAATAGTAGTTATATAAGTAGTATATGCAAAAGTAGTATTTGTTGTTCCAGTTGTTGTTGTTCTTGTTGTCTGAATCACATTTTAATTTATGTATAGTCTAGTGAAATATAAATGATTGCTAATTCTTGATCATTGTGAATTGAGTTAATGGAATTTAATTGAAAATCTAATTATGAAATTCTTTATCGTTCAACAAATATCGATGAGAATACATTCATATTATAGTATTCGATCATAGGTGTTTTTGAAGCATTGTCCATTTATCCTGGGACCATCGATGCATGTTTTATGGTGTAGGAGTATGTTGGAAGAATGATAGGGGCGGCCAGATTAAAACATCACACAAATCCATGAAGTCACTGACAAGTGGACTCAGCCATGTTGGTGGGTGTAGATGACCTGATTAGAATCCGCAAGACGATTACAACTGATGGTTAGAGACCTTGGATGACATGGCTCAAAATCGTTTGTAATGGAGCAGATGTATCCACTCCTTGTGTTCTCTCAAACTCCAATCTTCTGAATTCTTCATATCCCTTTCCTTTTCTTCTTCCCAAATTAATTTCACTGGATTATACTCCATGAATAACATCTTCAAACCCTAATGTTTCCGATTACTGCTTATACACTTACGACCTCTACCACAATTGGATTTGAATCGACCATTGTATCTGTGTGCAAATGTGTTATGGCAACTCGAACTGATGTACGTATATACGTACGGAGTTCTACGTTGTTGCTGACTGATATCCTAGATTTTCCATTCCCAGTCTGATCCCGATCAATTGTTTATTGCATTAAATATCAATTCATTATAAACTCAGCTACTTTTCGAATACAGCTTTCCAATTTCCATATCGCTCAAACCAGCAAAATTAATCGGGGCTATTTACATAGTTTCATATCTATAGCATTATCACCCTTTCGGATATCATATTACTTATGTAAATGAAACAGTGGAATAAGAAAATGTGAATATTTAAACAAATGAAGTATTTCATTTGTTAATAATCTCCACAACTCTAAATATGATGTGCTCACAAGTGACTAACTTCGAGAAGTAATTCTTGGAGATCTAGTGAAACACTATAGTCAATGGAGTTCAATCCATGTCCTTTGTGAGGTAGTTACCCAGTGAAGTTAATCGAAGATAGTCGCACAATATCGTGTATTAGTTGAAGTTAGGTATTAAAACAGTTGAATCGTGGCTCATTCATCTAGAGGTAAAGTGTTCACGTACGAAGCCGAAAGTTCTGGGTTCGAGTCCCTTTTAGTGTGGTATCGTGGATAAGCACTTCTAATGGTTCCTATACTAAAATAAAGAGGCCATTCAGTGCTTTCAGGTCTTTAATGATGTTTTAACGTTGATCGACACATGATCTCAGTTAAAAATCAGCAATCTCCACAATCCTATACTCATCATTTTCGTTGTACCTAATGATCATGAATAAAATCTCTTGTAATGGATTTTAGATTAAATACTTCTCTAAAATCTCAATGATTCTTCCCGTTTATATCTTCAGATTAGTGGTAAGAACTACCTGACTTTCGTAATGTGCTATGATGTACAATCCGATTTAGTCATGATGTAGTGGACGAACACTCAGGTGTGGAAAATCAGTTTACCGTCTAATGTAAATTCACACACAGCGACATCATAAAATATGAAACTCATACATTAAATACATCGTTTGCGAAGTTTCTATGCGTTACTCTTTACATGCTTTATTATTCCTCTAATTCTGCTGTTATTTTGATTGTTCACTGTTTACCTTCCTGTTCTCTCCATTTCAATCTTCTTCTTCCAGGCATTCCACTTTCGATTGGTGCTACCTACTACTTATATCTGTCAGTATAAGTAACATACACCACAATAATATAGGAATTTGCTAACGTTCAATCGAGTCAGTTATGTGGCTGAGAATTCATAGGAAACTTATGGCCAAGGCAGGATAATTATGCACGTAAATCATGAGTATATATATATAATCAGTGTTCTCGTCACTGAGTGTCCAGTTGTTATTGGATACCAGTGGTATACTCGAAAGAATTATGAGACCTATCTTAGAAGATCAGAATAAAGTGCGCATGGTGAGTAGAAATTACTGTCACAGAAAAATTCACAACATGATTTTGTTTTTTTTTCATCAAAGGTATACCATAATATAACATATTCATTGACTACATGAACGTAAATATGACTGTTATTTCGGCCTACGATACGCTTAGTTGACATGACAACGTTGAGTATATTTCCACTCTTCAAGAATAATAATTTACAATACATAATTATATCGCAATTCTGGTAGATTAAGATCCTCTACTAGTTATTTCAGTGACGTAATAATATAACCTAAACCGTTATATCTTCCAGTGGCGCAATAAGATAGATATATTTTAATATGCTCCGAAGAAATTAACATTGTAACACATTGAATCTGTTTATAGAATAGCAGCTATGACATTAGGACAAAAGGGATAGACTAAAAGCGAAAGTATCTAATCAAGTAATCGGAAAAGTCAATAAAGCTATGTCTTCTGAAAAGTTATCAAAAGCTTTATTGTTCAGTTCATTTTTGTATTGGTTGTTTGAGTCTTTCCAATGATGTTTAGGACTGCAATTGATCGGTCTATTATTTCCATATGTGCATTCTGTACGGATCGCTTCGTCATTCCCTTTATTCACAAGTATTGTAGGCAAAGATAGATAGTGGCCAGCAGTAGAATCCAGTTTGACGCACGTTTCGGCCTACATGGGCCTTGACAACTTGATTTACCTACATCAGAGTTGGTGCTTATAATGCTTGTGGATTAAGGCAATATTGAGGCCATCCGTATAGGATTCACATACATCATTTGAGACTGATCAAAAATCAATGGGAAGATTTAAACAAACAATACAAAAATGAATTGAAATTTGACCCCATTGCACAAGCTAGTGGCTATCTGGACTCATTAACTAAGTGGATAGAGCGATGGCGTTTGAAACGAACGTTACTGAACTTCAGTCCCGGCTTGAACGTCAACTCTGGGACTCATGTACATTCAGCTGACGAGTCCAAAATAGGATGAAACGCGCGTGATTGATTCCACTGCTAGCCACCATCAATCTTTAACTTTGTTGTTTGTCAGAACTGTCACTTGATAAAAAAATTTAAAATTTGATTATTCAAAGATTAGTCTAACACTGATGTTTGACACATTCAACTGACAAGGAATCCTTATGAAATAAATATCACCTAAGCAGAATGAATATGACCATGTTAACCAATGACTTCTTTTACATATGCGTTTTACGTTTGTATTATATTTATATTATAAGACAGATCTTTTCAGAAGTAATTTTGGCATAAACAATATTTAGGACTCTTGTCTTGATACGAACCAGCTGCCTAATTCTTCTTGGTTTTCAGTGATATACAAACTGAGATCAATCCATGATGAACGGTAACTACAGATTTAATGAGTCCATATAAAATACATTAGTTATGATCGATAATGGATGAAAAGTATCTATGGTTATTCACTGACCAATTCATTTAATGCTCAATGTTTTAAACAAGCTAAGATAAGTTAAGTATCTGTATTTTATTAAAGAACAGAAGAGAAATGGTTTATCACTACTGAAAATCCGTAGCTCAAAGGTTAACTCTATGGTATTTGAACTAATGTGTACCAGTTTAGTGATTTTGCTAGGGTTAAAGCTATCACGAGTTCACTTAATCTGCTCGGTGACCAAAGATCAGTAAGTTAGCTATTGATGCGTCCCAGCCCTGCTGACTAGAGGGAGAAGTCCAAGCATGGAATGGGAAAGTATATTCTACAAACAACCAAAAACGAGCGATAACGACAAACACAATTCAAAACGTATATATACAGTACAAAACCGTCTTTGGGAAGAGTTACCAAATAGCATACTAAAAGACGCAACGGACCAATAGCATTTAAGATATGTTTCCCAGTGGGAAATACGACATGAAGGTGACAAGAGCGTCTTTGGCGCGAAAACAATGAAATTCAAGTTTTTTAAATAAAATTACAAAATTAGGTCCGTTTCCACGTGAGTTTTGGGGATCTAACATCCCCAACAGATTTATCGTCAACGTATATCATACATTTGGTATAAAGGATTAATGGAGACTGTTGAATTTTATGGTTTACATCACAGACCAATTTTAACTGGACAACTATTAAAATCTATGAAGAGTTGGAAAGTTCTTTCCTTCTAGTTAAGGATTCCTCGACTGCAACTATATAAATCCTACCAGAGTTTGAAGCTTAAGATCAGTCAGTGATATCAACCATAAAATTTGACAATCTCCACAAACCCCTTATAGTAGGAACAGTTATGTACGCTCTAGTAACTAATTTAAAAAACAATTCTTAGAGTTCAAGTAGGAAGCTGTAACTAGTGGGTTTCACTCATGTCCGGTATGAGACAATTACATGGAAACCGAATTGTAAGATGATTGCACAATGTCAGAGATTTATTCAAGTTTGACAACCAACTCACTAGTCTAATTGTTAAGCATTTATTGACTTAGAAAACGTTATCAACTATATCACCTGTTTGTATAGTAAAACTCTTCTAATCTGTTAAGCAATAGTAAGAAAGGTGATGCAACAAACAGA